AGTTTCGACACAAGCACTGTGGCGGTTTACCTTTTTGAGTTTTACTGATTGAAAAATATCGTTCAACTGTATTTCTTTCCACTTTACCTGGTAGGCAAATTCATTTCCACTCAAAAACAATGTTGTATTAACAATTACAATAACAATAATCGTTACTTGTTTTTCTAAACGATGTATATACGAGCATTTGTGGCAAATTATAATAAATAATGATTTCTATTCTCTGGATTATAACTAGTTATTAATTGATATATTTTATGCTCATAAAACTGTACTGTCCCTAAATTAGCTGTATAGGCTATTAATTAACAGCTGTCTAAAGTCACTAACAAGACTACAATATCGTGCCACTCATCCTACAATCCCCTCCATTAATACTTGGCTTAAAATATGCACTTTGCATGGTCTTTATTTCAATAATAATGATTAAAGTATTATTTTTTTTTCTTTTTTTTCAGAATTAGATTTTGTGGATGATTTATTGAAAAAAAAAAACTTAGCCACTACGTTTGCAAGACTAGATGTTAAATATCTTAAGGCTGTTGTGGTATTTATTGTTAACGCAAAGTTTTTCATGGGGATAATAAAATACAAGTATAAGCTAGCGTGAAGCTATTACGGCAATTTTCCACAATATCGCTAAGAAACAACAGGTATTACTCTGCAACTATCTTAAAATACGCCCTAAATGTAGGGTATTGCATGTTTTGGAGCACTTGGATGGTAACAGTTTCCTTTGTAAGACCCGAAGTAACAAAGTTATTACATTTACTAGATAATGTGGCACTTTGGTGACTTCATGAAACTTTCTGATATCAAGATTTGGTGGATTATGGTTGTTCATGCAACGAACAATAATGATATATATCATGAAACAATAAAGATTTACTGAAAATATCGCATTTACAAAACTTTTATATGCAAGAAGGTTCAATTGCTAGAAATTAAACTTAAACTGGCAAGATTATAATTTCTATTTTACTTAAACACTTCATTCAAATATTTTTCCTGCATGGATCCAAAAATAAACCACAAATAATTTTGGGATGATTTTAAGATTTTTTTTACTCTTAATTTAATATACGAGATTACACATATGAAGGCCATTTCAAATTATCTGTTGGGAAAAATACCGGTGACTTATTAAATACTGCAATGTGATACCGAAACACTCAAATTCCTATTAAAACATCAAAATTGTAAATACAAAATTCTTCATAAGTATTAAATCACATGAAATAAATGTGAAATAAAATAATAAGATGATCCTTAAAATCTTCTACAATGAGTACAAAACCCTTAGTACAACTTAAGTAAGTACATAGTGTGCTCTTCCTTACTTGGACTTTATAAAGTTTCAACATTCTGTTTTAGCTATGTATTGCAGAACTATAGTAACTATAACATTATAAAGTTAGTTATTTTAAGCCGTATAAGTAACAGAGTGGCTTGAGCCCTCAGAGCATAAAATAATAGAAACCTGATATTAAATAGGTAACAAATAAAACTATCGTATTAAGTATATTATGTTGTTACTTAGTATAAATTGTTCTCATAAATAATATTATTTGAAAATGGCTTAATAATAAACTTTGAGTTAAGTTTAAAGGTTACCCTAAGTTTTTAAACGTAAAAATGAAGAAAATGAATACCGAGTGGTAATTTAATGGATATATGTTAATGGATATATAATGGATATGTGTCTACACTAAGTTTAACTCAAAAAACAATTAATCAAACAAATAATAAAAATGTGATGATGATATATACAGGTCGGTGGCTCAGCCTAGTAGCGCCACTGACATCGCCACTGATGTCGTGGGTTCGGATCCTGGTACTTGCCACTACATTCAGTAGTTCACCTTTGTACTGTACCGGCTCACCTCTTGCTTTGCTGTATACGTTCCACGCATGGGTCCATGTCTAAATGCAAGTTTAAAAGAGGCTGCTAACCTCTTAAGAAAAATCAATTCAGATTTTTACCTTCAACCAATGCCAACAGTTTCATAAATTCATAAGTAAGTTACAAGTATATTAAATTATAATTTGATGAATTTTTAGTAAAACAACTTTCCAAACATTACTTGATTTATGAGGAATCAGCGATGCACTCGCTGAGAGTTGGTGTAAAGTCTACTTTTCATTTGGTCATTTGGTACAGCTTAAAAAATTAACCACCACAGTATATATTTTAAAACCAACGGACTTAAACCTCCAGGGCTCCAGGGTGTCATCAACACCGATCACAACTCCCTCGTGACTATTTGTAAATTTATCAATCAAACCGACAGCTTTACACAGTGGGAGAGGACATTTCAGTAAACATTAGATTAGTTATGTACCTATTTATTTTGTTACATTATAAATACATTTGATAGATTATTTTTATATTGGAATATTACATAATGTAATAGAACATTATTATGTGTTAATTGTATTACAAAAACTGTGAATGATCACATGAAATGTTTTAAAAGTTTGCAAATGTGTTTTTCCCGATCAACCTCTCTTTATTTGTCAAAATGCCTCCGGTCTCAATACACTTATGTAACTACAAAATGGAAAGCACATTCCAAGTAAAAGGACTTATGCCTATAATATTTAATTACAGATAATTAAGGTATCGTTGCTATTGTCTAAGCTATTGTCTGAGAGGTTCCGAATTAATTGTATAACTAATACTATTTTAACTACTATAACGTTATTTGTCTTGTTTGCAATAATACATTAGGTTTCAGTGAGCTTGTTTATATGAAGTCAAACAAAAAAAAAATGGAGTAAAAATGCGGCATATGAAATATTAAAGAATGCTTGTTGTTTTCAGATCTACGTTCTTGAAATATTATTTAAACATTGCATCAATTAAACTTTATGTAGTTTACATTAATTTTGTTATACTTCTTGGTTTAAATGAGTTTTCCTCAAAATATAAATAGGAAAAAGTATACTTTAAGTTATTATAAAATATGCTTTAAACGTCATCAAAGAAACATTTTATAAGTTTATGAGCCCTTAACCCTTTGGCCCTTTAAATAAAACTTGTCTTGACATATTTAGTTTATCATGAGCTATAATTTATCTTATACGCCTAATTGCCTGCAGAGGCAAAGTAAAACAATAATGAATGTTATACGCTAGCTGGTTGCATGCAAATGCCCGCCTTTCCGCAATGCTGACACAAAAACTACATACTTGTTTTTTTTTCTTACTGTTTACAGTAGGCCTAGTTGTGTTTTACTATTAATTGATCTAATTAATTTAATTGTATTAAATGTTTAATACACCAGACCAAACTCATGAAATTTCGTGTGTTTTATTTATGCAAAACCCAATGCATGAAAAAACCTACTCATAATATAAAATGCTTTTTACTATTTATTGGTAGTATAGGCTGAAATAAATAAATTTGCAAAATGTAAACAAAGCACAGCCATAAAGAAGCAAATACTTTTACGCCACACTACACTATTTTGACGAACTTCCCATGCAAGGATTTAGTCCAGAAAACAGCTGTTTGCCACCAGCTTAATCAAATGGGGTTTCATTGCGTAATACTGTTCTGCAATGAGTTTTGCCGGACACCAATCAGCTGATTATACTGTATTTGCGTGGCAATGATTTAGTTATAAACAAAAACATAACCTCTCTTAGAGGTTATGACTAGTGATGTTTGGTCCTTTAGTTGGTGGAAATTTATAAGGATTTGTACGAATTAAGTAGTATGGCGTAAACTATCGTACGTAACTTGTCCAAAATGTGTGTACCGGACTCGTATGGTAATCCCGTACTCGACTTCGTCTCGCACGGGAACGACCACACTCGTCCGGTAAACACTTATTTTCAGGACTAGTAACGTAATATACTATTACAGTTTTCTTGTTCTTGCTAAAACGAACGTGGGAATTGTAAATCCCTAGTTTTTTTCCCTGCAAAAAGTATCAATGTTAAAAGGTATAATCTTTTTTCGAAACTCTACATAAAGGTTGCAATGAATATCGGGCATTTGCATGTTTTAAGGGTGAAAACTAAAAATAGTGTTTTTGAAACATTTAAAAGCCCATAGACCCAGTTTACAAAACCTGATATTGCTGTTTTAGAACACTATCAAATGTATCCAATTCTACACATTCGTGCAAAATGTTATCAAGGTTGGACCGAAGCTGCTGGAGACTAACTAGACAACAATGAGCTAATAAGAAACCAACATATCTTGCGAGTAAATGTATTACTACTATTACTCATCAGCTGTTATCAATTCACCTCACCATTGGCCTTTGGTTTCGTTAGAACACAAGCCAGCATTTGAATGTATTGTATACGATGATAATAGTGGATTATGTTCTTATACTTATTATTTCATCACAAGAGATTATACTATTGATTTATTATCTTCCATTACGAAGTATTCAAAGCAGTATTATAATTAAACAATATTATACTTATTTTCTTACGTGAAATCTGTATTTACCTAGGCTACTTTATTGAATATGTCACTCTTTCAAATTAGAGTTATCATTATATTACATGTTGTTAATATTGTATTAGCAGAGTATTTATAATAAATATATTCTTAAATCGTAAGCTCAGGTAAAATGTGTGAGGGAGTGAGAATTTTTTTATTGGTCAGGTAGCTTTTTTGAATTTATAAACCAGAATACATCCGTAGATCTTTAGTTATATTTTAATTATAATCAATAAAACTCCATTAGAAAAAGTGGAAAGCAACCAACTTCATTGGAGCAGGCACTAAGTATTGATGCAAACCACTAAATGATCTACCGAAAATGGGAAATATTTCATTTCTGTTGACTTCTCACTAGAAACGAAGGTCAACTTATTACAACTTCAACTATGCAAAAAATCTAGTAAATGTTAGTTTTATTTGTTTAACTTTTATGTAAGCACACTATTTACATTTAATTAAATAAAAACAACCACCATGGAATGGGTAATGGGTAAATTGAATATACCGATCATTCAATAATGTTCTTTATTTCCATTAAGATTAATATATTCTTCCAAGTGAAAGTACAACGGATCCATATACATCTCATGTAATATACATGCAACATAGCAAACTGACAGTGAGCTTCGAGTAGTCGATAGGGCTCAGTCTATATGCGACTATTCGAAACTCGACTCATCGAAGTAACAAAGTCAATCGTTAGATGAAATTTACAATAAGCAACGAAGTACCAGCACTATAATATTATTTTTATATACAATCAATACAATATATTTACTATAGCACAGCCGAAATAAATTAAATGTTCCTAAATTAAATAGTCGAATGGCCTAGCTAAACAATCTTAGACTACGAATCGTATGAACAACCGCATGGTCCAATTATCACAGGTATTTAAACATTTACAGAACGAGTATTTACATTGAAAACTAATTAAATGCTTGTGTAAGGATAAAACGGTAATGTTTTAAGGGTTGAAATAATTTCATGTGGTAGTTGTGCGTTCCAAGATATACGTTTAATTGGTTCATACTTTTTAAAAGATATATGAGTATATTTAAAGTTGCTGTAAATAATATATTTCCGATCATACTATGGATACAAAGATTTACTCAAATGTTACCTACTAGTCTAATCGGTAGAAGGTCCACCATAAAAATGGCAATCGTTGAAAAACTATCATAAGATAATGTTAAAGCTATTACTAGGTCCTCTTTTACTATTCATGTACTAAATTACAATACAAAACTATACCTCATATTTACAATATCACAGATACTTTGATACATGTTACAAACAAAGAAAACGAGGTACAAAAGTGAGCATGATACATCAGACAGTGACTTCTTCGGTGAACCGGTTTTTGTCGTCCAAGTTGATGACGATCGTGTGCGTGCGTGCGTGGCCGGACCGCAACTGGTTGGCCTCGGCCGTATGTTGAGGGCTTTTCTCCCTGTGTTTACTTGGATACTCCTTCCTTTCGCTTTTGCTACACCGTGCATCACAAGGCTTGTCCCTCTTGGACTTGTGATTGTTCTGCTCGTCTGGTGGTTTGCTGTTCGTGTCTGTGGTCGTGGTGGTTGTGTTGGTAGTTGTACTGGTCTTGGTAGGCAAGGTTGGCACGACCAGATGGTCGCTGTCCTCCTCAGGGATGTTCTCTCTGTATTCTTTAGCAGCTTCTTGCATCGCAGATATCTTGGCGGCCAGGTGTCTGTTGCCGTGCCTCATGTTGTGCTCTTTCAGCATTTCCAGTTGGGTGTAGAGTCGCTTGAATTCCTCCTGCAAAGCAGTGTCTTTATTAGAAAAAATTGTGTATTACCGAGATACTATATATTACTGATTCCGTGTGGCTGTTGGCATTGCCAGGAAGTCAAGTATTTTGTGTTGATTGACTTAGCAACAGTTTTTTCATATCACAGATCACCATTTGACAACCGTTGAGTAATTTTTTCATGTCTAAAGTTCTAAAAATCCAATCGTAAAAAGTTAATTATCACAATAATAATTTATTTTTAGCATAAAGTTAACATCGTGTGAGTAAAATGTATGCATAGCTTATGGAAAATGTGTGGTTTTTATTTTCTCCACTTATAGGTTTTAAAATGTATAAAGAAAGTATAATTTTTATCAAAAGTTTTGAATTTTAAGCTATGGGTATATGCATTTTTACAACTTTATAATTTTTTTTAACAACTTTATCGTGTTGTAAATATTTTGACCCGCTGAACCCTAAAAAGGGGGAATTGAATTCTGTAAGTATGTGTGTGTTTGTATCTGACTCTATAAGATTTGGTTTTTGCGTACTAATTTATATTATTTAGCCATTCCCTTCATTTTTTTAAATGTTTTCCTCTATCTTTATTCAGGCTAACTTAGGACCCAATGGTCCCTTCTTGCAGTTAATCTCTAAGTTAACTCTAAGCTTGTGATTTTACATGGTAATTTCTTCATAAAACCTATAAAATAACGACTCAAACTATTTTCAATAAAATTCAGTATGTTATGGTCCTTTTTATGTTAAACAGAAAAGGTTTATGTTTTACAGCTCCTAATGCTGTAAAAAATACTGAGCGAAAATGGTATACGCTTTTGTGGCTTTCCCCATGAATATTTTTTTTACTCCTACCAATTGTAGGGTTGGAGGAAAATAAGTGGTAATTTGCTAAAAACGTTTATGTATTATTTTTGTAGGGCCATCTTACTTCGTACTGCGAATCGGTAAAAAATTTTTCCTCATTACTTGACGATATGATCGTACAATAGCGATTAAGTCACAAAAGGTGACATCTATGTCCTACCTGGACTTCTTGTTCCGTCAGACGCGCGTACTCGTGTCCAGTTGAAGAGTTGGTGCTGGCGACATACTGGCTGTTGGTGGAGGCTGCATACTGGGAGTTGGTAGACCTCGGTTTGGTCAAGAACTTGGTCGTCTGAGCCTTAGGCATCGTGTTGGTAGAGTCCTCCGCTTTACCGTGCCCCTTGAATACCATGTAAGCCTGCAAAAGCAAATAAAAATGACTCAACTACTATGTCAAACACTAGAAGCAAAGTCCTGCAATCCATCTATAACATAAATCTTTATGATATGCCTAAAGCAATTCTGTTAATTTGCAAAAAAAGTTACATCTTCATTTTATTCCCACATTTCCTTTGGTCATACAGATAAATTATAACAAATAATACACATGGTTGCTTTTCCTAGACAACTTTTTCAGTCTAAAACTCAATTAATGGTATGCAATTCGACCTTATTAAGGATAATTATGTAAAAATCAATTAAAAGAAATCTTCCTCTAAGTTTTTGGTAAGATTTGAGTAGGCAATTTTGTATACGTAATGAACTATCATTTAAGCTTTCTTTGAGCGTGTGATACGCTTACCACACTGCATTGGAAACTTAAAAAATAAACCCAATTCAAGTAGGAAAATTTAGTTTTTTTTTTAAATATTAATTTAAAATATCAGTTTGCTAAAATTGTTTCATCAAACTGTTTATCGCATTGTACCTGGAAACCAAAACATGCACTTGCACCACACTGTATGATGCAGTTGTAGTATGCCATTGTTATGAAACAAATATTATGCTGCATCGTTGTTTACCCTGAATTGATAAACAAGACAATATAAATGGGGATGGTTTAAATCTTGTGATTCATAAAATTATGTTTGGACAAGCCGATTACACGCAATAATGTATGAAATCGCATTATTGATAGTAAAAATAAATACATTCTTTAAGTCTAAACGTCCCCCAAAAAACGCTTACACATTTTCACTATATTTTAAGCAAATCTCCTTGAAATAATACAAGTAAACGACAGCAAAAAAAGAGAATACAATTCATATAGTATGAAAAAATAGTTTAAATGTTTACGTACCTTACTTCCGAAGATTAGACAAAGAAGGAGGGTAACAGTGAGTTGTGTGTGAGCGAAGAATATTATGTAAAGAAGATCAGGGTTAGCGGGGGACTGCAGAAACAACCTGAAATAAATAAGAGAAAATCATTAATAGAAACCGAAATTAGCTTATAAGGTGCATATCTATTATTTTGGAGTATTGTTCAGGAATAGTTATGTATATAATTGCCTACATTATTTTCTTTACAGTCAACTACTACAAACTACCGACGATTTACTTTTTTTATAAATTGTAGGTATTTTACTGTAAATATTAGGTTTTGTAAGATGTAATTAATTAATTGTTTTAACTTAAAAATATATAGTTATGTGAATGAAATTAAATAATTAAACCATCATTTCTAGTATTATTTATCAGCAAATTTATTATTAAGTACTATCGTTCAATTGTGTATTCAATCGAAAGTAAACAGTAGGCTTTCGTTCAAAATATAAATATCTGACAGTTGGTAATTTATTTTAAAAAAAATTCATATTTATAGAACGAACAGAAACAATTTGCAGTTTCTTATTGCTATTTCCTATTGAAATGCAAACAAATACAATATTAAATATCATTAGAAACTAAACAATACAAGAAATACGTCCATGAGAAATGTTAGATTGATCTAAATTGCTACTCACATAGAGACATTCAGAAAACACGACAGTAGGAATTCATTGTATATTGCCATGGAAATAAATTTGCTCTCGTTGAACTCTGAGGGAGCTTTTCTGACTACGATACAAAGACGAATTCCCCACACCAGGAATAAGACCTCCACTGAAACATGTACATGCATTCATCAAAATCAAAACCAAAGTTAAAATTATCACTATATTATATATTTTTTTCAAAGACAATGTCATACTAAGTAGAGAAATGCTTAACAAATCTCCGGAAAGAGCATTTCTTGACAAAAATTTACTCGAAAAGAGATTTGTCGTCATCGCTCTGATTTGGCGGAAATAAGGCTGAGAACTCAATAACCAGAGAAGCAACCTTCCACCGGAGTCTGTCACTGCTTCCTTCCAACACATCCATAAATCTACTTCACTTTGATGAATACTTGTTAGAAATGAGCACAACATTATAAATGATATCACTTTAGCCTCCTTCAAAAGAAAAAAATACTTTAAAATTTAATTTTAACTATCAGGGTTTTTTAAGTTTTTTATACTAATTGAGTCATAACCAGTAAAATATTGATGGATAATTTGATGTAATTAAATAGAAGTGTTTATGAATAATATATATTTGATATATTATATAATATAGGGGTTTTACATCATTATTTCTCGATAAACATTTTGAATTATTTGTCTTCTTTAACGTTTCCTGATATCTTTACGTGTTTCCCTTAAACAACTACAAAGAACTACAGAACCTAATCTAGTTAAACAGTTGCCAAAAATACCATAAATGAAACTAGTCTTTCCCCTTTTGGAACTTGCTCCATCAAAAATTGGATGCACACAAAAAGGGAATGCAAAAACAACTTTCCAAAAATGTTTACCACGGATAAATTGATAAAAAACTTACCCATATAAATACCTACTTCCTTAAGGGAATCTCAGATTTTTAATTGACGTATATACGAATTTTTGTGAAAGAAACCGTATTGGTCCAAAAAATATCTTCACTGACTTGATCGTTTAAAATTATAGCCAGTAACAGCTGGTATACCCGTTTTTGACACCTCCATTTAAATATTTATAATAACATGTATACTTTCAGGACAGTGATGGATTTTGAAAAGGTTTATGATCAATACCTTTTCTTTTTTCCGTGGGTGAATTTACAAATTTATATCCTATTGTATTGTATATTGTTTTGTATGATCGCGTACAAAGTTTATACAATCTTGTGTAAGGTTGATTCAAAGTTATATGCGTATTTGTACTCAATCATTCTAGATATGTGTTTCGCAAATCAACTTACTCATGGAGAATGAATGGTCCCACCAATCAGTGTGACACAGGTATGCCTTCAGGTCATCAGCTGTTCTGCCGATGATGACGTGGGGAGGTGCCACGAGGGTGCGGATCACCAGGAACACAGAGAAGATGGCGACGATCACACCAAGTCTCTTCAGGAGGTCTAGGTCTGTGATCTTGACTGCCTTAGCCGATCTCACTCGGAAAATAACAGATATCCTGCGGAAAAATATTAGTTTTTGTAAACAGTGCATATTTTGTACCACATAACTTATTATAATATTTATAAGATTAACATAACCACATAACTTTTTAAGAATGTCTGGTCTAGACTTAGACACAAAATACCCTGGTGATACATTATTTAAAAGGTAATTGGCAACCCATCAAGTGAGTTTTGAGCTGAAAGTAACACAACTCATTTAGCATCCATCTACCTAACTTTTAGGTGTTTGTTCTAAGCTGAGAAAAAATAAACAAATCCTACTCTTGATGTGGAAGAGTTTAAACTGTTAATTATTTCCAAACAAGGTTGAGTGTCACTACTTCTGTAAATGGAGTGATGATCAAAAATCCATTCGGGTAATTTTTTATAATGTAGGAGTTATAATAACCTTACCAAGAAACGATACAACGTTAATAAAATGAATGTACGGTACCTTTTGAGATGCTTTATTTAGTAGCTTAAACTAATTTACATATTATATTAAGAAAAGAATAACTATTTCCGTAAATATCTGCCTACTAAAACGGCTTGATAATCAACCTAAACAAATGTGGTCGTGTGCAAAGTAAAACATAGTTTGAGTTATATGTACGCCCTTGAGAAAGTTACTGTGTTTCAAAAACGTGCACAAATAATCTTGATATTATCTAATATAAGATGGACTATACAAAAAAAGTCAGACAAAACGTTATGTTAGTTGACTCTCAACTTTTTTCACATTAAAAATAAGTCAAAGATATTATTAGTTATTTTACAGCATTAGCTATAAACCTATTTAACCTTATAACCATTTTCAGTCCTTATTTAAATTTATATTGTAGAAGTAATATAGAAAATTTAATTAAACTAAAATGTTATTGTGTTTGGAAACGCCATTTTATCGCACAAGAGGATTTGTAAGGCTGTAGAAAGTGTCGTAAATCTTAAGCTTGCTTTGTAAATTATTCAACAGTTGTCTCATAACAAAAGAGTTGACATAACTGTAAATAGGGCTAAATTTCTTTTATTCCCAACATTATTTGATTACATTGAACATTAAGATCAATTAAATAAAACTTTTTTTTTAGTTTTTAGATGCATGCCTTATTATTGATGTGTAAAGTTTTTTTCGATAGGAGAGAATTTGGAAAAAAAATACAATACTTACCTCCATGTTTTGAGCATAAGAGCGCCATAAGTAAGAGAAAATCCTATTTCTCTCAGCCAGACTCTCATTGTACAAGTTATTATATTTGGTCGTGGATACATCACAATAGTCTGAAATAAAATAAATAAATACTCTTATAAAGTTTTAAAATTATGACAGTGATTAGAAGAGTTAACAACATGTGTTTTTATACGGTGGTTTGTTCTATTTAAAATAATAGCCGTTTTATTTCGGTATTAAAAAAATGCATTGTATAGGCTAACTCTTTTGTATCTTATGAATAGTAAGAAAATTATAAAGTCTTGTGTAAAATTAATTAACATGATTATACATTTTAAAGAATTCTAAAATTATTTCTAAATGGTTTCATTCGAATATAAATAAATGTGTGTTCTCCAGTATTATTTCAGGCATATGGTCTTCTAAACAATCATTAAGGTAAAAAACAACACTATCGAAAACACAATTAAAACTTGATCTATTCCAAATGCAAAAAATATTTTAATAACGATTTTATCCTTTATAAAACAACAGTTTTTAATAATTGTTAATGTATGCATAAATAACGGTATTTTAGATAAACTTTTTTTCCAGGCAGTTTCAGTAAGATATTTGGAATCTAAATATTTTATTTTCTATTATAATTGCATCCAGTTAGTGAAGGAAATCATGGACAGACATAACCACACAACAAACTATTCTAAAACCACACAAATTGCTATAATATTGATCTGGCGAAACTTATTGAAAAAGGAACTTCATCTACGTCGCAACCTGCCATTGCACTTGTCAAAGTGCCGAGTACCATTAAGGGAATCAATAAAACACTTACCGTGCAATAAATAAAAAATGCGCCCAATGTAATCACTCTGAGCAGGACTGGACTGGCAGCTCTCACAACCTGAGGTAAAACATTGATTAGAATTTGCATTCAAAACTAGATGTATTAGACAAACTTTCATAGCCAAACCAACTTGTATCTGTTTAAATTGTAAATTTGCCCTTAAAACCTTCTAAACTTTTTAATCTGATTCTTCATTGTTTATTCAGATTTATGACGCTATATGTTTGTAGCTTTTTTGGATAAAAACACTTTTGTATTTAATTCGCACTTTCGATATTTAATTTTTATTTAAGACATAACAATGATTAGGAAGTAAAGTCAACTAAACATAAGGCGAGTTAACCATTATATAGTGCTGCAATCTCTAGCTTTACTATGATGGACTTCAGGTATTACTCGGATCTGGCAAATTTTAGACCGCAGATATCCAACCTGATTTTTGATTTAATGATTACCTTAGTTATGACACGGATACAGTAAGACACATACATTTTACTAGCTTTAATATGATGGACTTTCATTAAGTTCTTGTCTAATCATTTAAGCCAATAAAAAAAAAACATATAACACAAATATTTTAAAGCCTTACGACACATTCTGAGTCACATTACGAGTCATTACTGTGTCAATTTTTCTTCTCAACTTAGTAATATAAATGAAAAAAAGAATTAATCATATAAAATCAGTCGTCAATGAGCTAAGTTCATCTTTCGGTTAACATTGTCTTTGTTGCTAATAAGCCACTATACTAAGCATATTAATCAAATGTGTCACATTTCAATAACAATTTATGTAACTAAACAAACCCGTTCTTGAACAACTACACAACAAGATTTTGTAATAAATTTAAAGGTCATACAACACCAATGAAATCAAAAACACTAATTTAGCCTTATCTGTTGTAAACCAATTCAATGAAATAAATCATTAACACAAATATCAGCCTTTACAACAGTTCTTAACGATCTCGATAAAAACTGAACATAGGGTACATAAAAACAAATCTAAAACAAACACAAAAGCCAAACAAAACACAATACGCTCTAGTTTTTACATACATTTACTTCTAGTTATTTATTTGAAGAGCCTTTACCTTTACATTCCCGTATTTCCAAGTGAACAGAACCACGACGGGCAAACAGCAGATGAAGACACAGGACATTATCAATATTGCTGTCCTCATCACCCAGTTCAAGGACACGACACAAGGGCTCGCGTCTATACAAGCTTCGCAGCCTTCGGCGCATTGCAGACATACAAACGTATCACTGATGTTGTACTGGTTGTCTTCGCCCTGGAAACGAACTTAGTTAGTCTAGGTATATTTTATGGTAAATTATCTCTTAAAATGGATAATATTGTTGCCATATTGTTTAACTTTAGGTATTACTCGGATCTGGTAAACTTTAGACCAGTAATATCCAACCTCATTTTGTAATTTAATGTTAACCTTAGTTATTACATGGATAAAATAAGGTACTCATACATTTTACTAAAATATTTAGGGCATTAGGATATAAACGTGTTACACTGGAGAGAAAAAATTCAGAAGTAAACAAGGTACATCAAAATTATTTAGATAGCTTCTGCAGAATTTTCGCGTCCCTAAGAAATAAAAAATATGGGTAAACATCTTTACCGATGATACAGTGACATTAGCTAGGATCAAAAATAATCCATAAGTTGTTTGAAATGACAACTATACATTGTTTCAACTCAATAACAATGGCTAGAGTCATTAATGACTTATGACTCTAGAGAGAATACACTACAAAAATATAGGATATTATTAGAAAATACTCTATAAAGTAATATTGAAAAAAAAAAATCTGAAAAAGTTAAAGTCCTTTATACAACCCTTAAAATAAAAAAAAATATATATCGTCCCCAGATGTATGCCCGTATAACCTTATTAACTGAGTAGCCAGAAACAAAAAAAATATACTTTATATTAATACACATTAGGTTATATTTACTATTTCATTTTCCGAAGCACACCTTTCCCAACCTCCTACGTTCAGAAAAATTATCTACTTTAATGTCACAGGCCCTAAAAAACATAAGTAATCTAAACTCAAGCTTTGATTTTTAGTTCAGAACTAATATTTGAAGATAATGCCTTTTTTAGAACGTTTGCGGCCTATGTTAACCTTAAATTCGCCTGTCAACCGAAATTCGCACCGCACCTCTGTGTAAAACGCATCCGTATATTACAAGGGTAAAGTTTACTGATAAAAAGTAGTGGTAGCAGGATCTAGACCCAAGACATCGCTTGCCTTGGGCCCAAACTATCTCCTTTACTCTACTGATTGAGCCACGGAATAATAAAACATAATAAAGCTCATTGCATTGAAATTAGCAAAAGATATTTTTCCACCAACCATCATAAGCTTCTCGTACTCCTCTTCTATGACTGTCCCGTTATAGTAGCGATGCACAGCCTTAGTGTCGGGGAAGTAGAACCCTCTCTTGCATACGCACTTGTAACTACCCCTGCGGAAGCCGAGGCCTGGAAGAGCTACACACTGGAACAGGAATAATATGCATAAAGAATATGGTTTGAGAAAATAGCTTGTCAACATAAACTTGACGGGGTGATGAAAATTGGCTTTTGTGATTCATTGGATGAAAGAAAGACCTTGATTTAAGGACCATGTTGCTGTGAAATGATACCAAACAAAAAGAAACCCACACTAGATTCTCACCCTATTAGTATTCAATCAAAAGTGGAGTGTATTCTACCTACTGCACTGTGCTGTGCAATTATCTCTTGTACAAAGCAAAGTTAGCGATGTTAGATATCAATTTCATTTAGTGTAGCATATTATTTTTATTTCAACTCATATTTTTCCATTGCCCTGAGCTTTGGTTTCACCGTTTATCTTTCTACCCATGTCCGGCCGATAAGAATGGAATTTCCCGACCTTTGTACTTTTCCATCGTACGATGCCCGGCCGCGGCACAGTCCGCTACTATTCCTCTCGACATTAAGTCATTTTTTCATGCAGCAATACGCTCACCGCTATAACAGTTTCATCATATATCTCATTACCACAGGGGGCTTTTTTTGAACCGCAGGGGGCTCACGCTTGCGTGGGTTCGTGGCCTGGGCGACCACGCGGACCCTAGCTCTCCCAGAGGGGAGGTAACTGCCCGGTGTCAGACCCGGCACTTCAGGTAGACCACAGTTATGGACGACTGGTAAGCGCCAGCCCCTTAGGGGGAGCCTCCAGTGACATTCCCTCCATTCAGGGTGGGGGGGGGTGTTTAGCTCTCAGTGACGCCGTTAATTCCGCCTCTCCTCAACTACCTGTAACTGTGGTTGTGACTGAGTCCTACCTGTTGTGTTCGACTGACATTTTGTGAGGCATATCCTCGACTTTGGAAGTAGCCTCGTCCTGGGAGGTGAAATACCTAGCCCCCAGAGGGGAGGTAAATGCTCCGTGTTGGTATCGGCATTTCAAGTTGGCCACAGACATGGTCGACTGGGCATCGGGTCCCAGTGACATTCCTTTATCCAGGATGGAGGGGTGTTTAGCTCTAGGAGAGATGGAAGTACATCATAATCTCTAACCTACCTGTGTCTGTGGTACTTTGGGCTTCGGCCTGCTTGTGGTGTGCGACCAGCATTCAGTGGGCAAATCCTCGACTTTGGAAGTAACCTTTCCTGGAGGTGAAAACGGGCAAGTACCCGCAGCTCACGGGGACACTCAAGGGCAACGTAACTTTCCGCAGTGTGAGGGCAACGGTTTGTAGGTACTTATGCAAACCTATCCCTGTCTCTGAGCACGGACGGTATGGTTATCTTGAGTGTGGGGGGTTCTTCCCGGAACCTCAATTGAGTCAAGGGTGTCGCCACCTCTGGTGGATAGGTTCATCCGGGTGGGTCCCACTTCTATACCTGCCTCCTTTTGGGAAACCCTGATGGCCTGGCAGTGATGTTGGGTCTGACGGGCAAACGAAGTAGATCGGGTGCTGGGTCCGAGCCCGCCAGGGGTATCTGGGGATCTATCGCTCTGGATATCTCTGGTTCCCAGCAATGGGTCAGGCCTCGATCGGGCAGCGGTGTAAATGGGAGGTTGGGGTTCCCCCCGTCAGCGTGCTGATGGTCCCCTTCCTCCTGGCTATTGATGGCGGGTTCTGCCTGTCAGGGATGAGATAGGTCCCGAGTGTTGCTTGCACTAAATGCGTCGGGGCGCTCTACTATGGACCTCTAGGTTCCGACCTAGTGGAACCCAGGTGGAGTGACGCTTAAACAAGCAGCCGGAATCCCTGGTTAGGATTGAGGGGCAACCCTCTTTCCGAAGGGTCTGCTTCGGCAGCCGGCGAGCCTGATGACCTTAAGTCATCCGCCCATGATGTGCTAAAGGTTGATGCGTAAGCTTCGGCCTACATCATGGGGCCCGGGTATGTCCTGTAGGATAGGTACCGGGTAAGCAGTCAGGGGGCTTCGGCTCTCATGACAACAAATAATAATAATAATAATAATAATAATAATATCTCATTACAAATCAAATTCAAACCTCATTAGGCCATAAAAGATCGTTTTTGTTTTGCTTTATAACAAGAAGTGAATTTTAAGTTAATTTTTCGTGTACATAAACTAACTATTTCTAAAGACTTTAAAAAGTGTGCAGTGCAATCCCGGACAGGACGACATGACGCCAGCAGGTGGGGTACCCCAGCCGTGAACACCTTTCTACAGCTACAAGGTCGGTGGAAATCTATTTTAAATATAATAGAAGCTGAAGTCAATCATTATAAAATTTAACTATTTGTTATCTCATTTAATATAAAACAATCTTTTGATTTATTTCTGGGTAGGCCTAAGAGCTCATTGCTCACGTTTTATTACATCACAAGCGAATTGATTTAATTTCTTTGTTACATAAAAATACCAAATATACCAAATAAGCAAGACCCTAGATGTGTCAAGAACAGTTCTTTCTCTTCTAATAAACTTAAATCCAGCTTTTCTTCAAACTTAAGGAGAAGGTAGTCACAAGGTAAACTAAAAACTTACCTCAGTTGTTCGGTTTTTACACTTATCAGAAGCTGCGAAAATGTTGAGTTGAGTGCTGCCTTGTGGTAAGGGACATTGGTCTATGTCAACTCTTCTCAAATCAATATCAATACCACTGGTGCCTCTGAAAAAAATCACACTTTTGGTAATAAATATACTATATTCCTCACAATATTTTAGACATTATTAGCCCTTATTTCTAGAACATTAAAAACAATAAGTTAAATACGTATTTACCTGAATATTTTGTTATTTCCTTCTCCAATACAGGTGGATATGCAAATGAACTAACAAATTTATAGTTAAAGCAAAGAGTAAAAGAGAGGATCCAAGACTATATTATCATCCAAGCAATGATTATTTATTGAGTGATCCCGTACCGGACCGTAGTATTTCAAATACATTTTATTAGTTTATTTTTACCCGTAACTAACATATATGTAGAGTATCTAAAGACTGATGTTTGGCATGTAGCTTCCCATCGTTCTAAGTAGTAAAAGTTTTGAAAATTGAATTCTGAAACTAACACGTGTTTCTACATAATGGGTAACGGATTTTGGTAAAACCCCATAAAGCGCCATGGGAAAGCGTCATACAACATGTTCTATTTAAGTTTTGCAAGTTTGAGAGTTATAGAATAGTTTATGTCAAACTTCACACGCCATAGTTATTATATGTCGATTGTATACGTATTTTTGCATACGGTTTTTTTAGTATCACCCATCTACAACTGTATCGTAAATTTACCTCTTAAATTACAAAATAAGTTTCAAATTTTAAAAAGGTTGTCTGAAAAATTTCTAAGTTAAAATTTTTATGTATAAAACACGAAATGGTATGTATCTGGGTAAATTCTATACATTTTTCGGAAATCCTTGATATGAATTTTGTCTTTCTTTTGGTATGAGAAGAGATTCTAAAGTTCTTCTTTTTTGGACAATCTGTTTATTTCAAGAGTAATTTTAGAAGTTTTTTCATTCAGTTTTGTAAATGTAAACACGTACATAGACACGAAATAAACTTACTTAAAGAAGTAGCTGTTGTTGGCGAATCCAAAGAAAGGCACAGTGTAGGTAAGCATCCAGATGTTTCCCCCTCCACAGTCGTAGTAGGGTTTGCTCCACTTGCCGTCCTCATACCTCACACTGAGGATGTCATCAGGTACTCGCTCCGTGTGCGCTGTTTCGTTGTAGGTGTACGTGTTGTACCCTGAACATACAATTTGAGCAAATAATAGTATATTGTGGCTAGTTCAGATGTATCCAAAATAGAGATAGAACAATTGAACTAGTTTTAAATATAAAAATTGCTCATCAATAATCAAGACTGAAATATTTGTTTTACGATTGGAGTGTAGTTTCCTTGTATGGAAAAGTTTTAAAGCTTTATATATATATTTTTGGTAGGAAGTAAAAAAAAAATTATGAATTCTCAAGTAAGGTCATTAAGATTTTTTTGTGGTTTGCAAGTAGATAATCGTTACAAAGTATAGATAAGAAATCACACCAAACGGTTTAAGCAATAAGTTATTTAACAAAGAAGTCAAGTAAAATGTTGTGTTGAATTATCATCAAAGAAACTGAGGTACAAAAACCAAAATATGTGATTCCTACATAAAAGGGTTTATCAGAGCAGCCAATGAAGATATTATTGTAACCTCAAAGGTTGGAAATAAATATATTACAGTGAAAATACCTAGCATACGAAGTATTACATGTTGAGAGGGGGTGTTAAGAAATAGTGGAAACGACTATACGAGTAAACAAATCTGTATTCTATTACAAGCCACCTGCTGTCAAAATCGTTGATTTATTCTTGTTCACATGTGGTGTAATATAATACTGTCTTCTCTGTTATGGGTGAATAACAACTATTTATTTTGTTTACAAAAATAGCCCTTAACAGTTCAAAAGTTATGTAGTTTTTTCATTTATTATTGCTAACGAAAAAACAGTTGACGTTTAACTGTTGATGCTATAATGTAATACAATATTTTGTTTGATTTATTTTTACCATGTACATGGTAAACGAATTTACCAAAAATTATGGATCAAATAAAAAACTAATTGTTTTAAATATACCAACCAATTTATAGGCTTTGTAAGATGTTTAATTAAACAATAATTCGAAAAAAATTGAGTTATAACACTTTTATTGGAAATCCAGTGACGTGCAAACAAACATACCATTTTTATAAATTACGTTGCTCTGTATTACATTACAATCAAGTATTGTTTATATGCACAGAGAGTTAAGGAGAGAGTTATATGCACAGAGGAAACACCCCTATGGGACAACCATAACTTACAGCTGTGGTGTAGGTATATCTTTTGCCGAAAATATAGTTTTAACGAGCAAGGAAGAGCCTTGTGTGGAAATACTACCTCACAAGGCCTTCCTCCACCGTGAGCGTTGTAGTGCATGTTGGCGTAGGGGGTGGTGTTGGACTTTGCCCTAGACACCAGCTCTTAGTGCTAGACACCAGCTTTTAGTGCTAGACACCATCTCTTAATGATGGACACCAGCTCTTAAGGCTGGACACCAGCTCTTAGTGCTATACACCAGCTCTTAGTGCTAGACACCAGCTCTTAATGATGAACAACGTCTCTTAGTGCTAGACACCAGCTCTTAATGATGAACACCATCTCTTAGTGCTAGACACCAGCTCTTAGTGCTATACACCAGCTCTTAGTGCTAGACACCAGCTCTTAATGATGAACACCATCTCTTAGTGCTAGACACCAGCTCTTAGTGCTATACACCAGCTCTTAGTGCTAGACACCATCTCTTAATGATGGACACCAGCTCTTAGTGCTAGAAACCAGCTCTTAAGGCTGGACACCATCTCTTAGTGCTAGACACCAGCTCTTAGTGTTGGACACCAGCTCTTAGCGCTAGACACCAGCTCTTAGCGCTAGACACCAGCTCTTAGTGTTGGACACCAGCTCTTAGTGTTGGACACCAGCTCTTATTGGTGGACACTAGCTCTTAGCGCTAGACACCACGCGTGTATCCTCTGTTTATTACTTCTCTGTGGTAAATGTTAAGCATGTCGCTGGATCGTTATACTATACCAACCTCTGCTGAACTGGTTATAGTTGTTGATTACGTTCTCCGCATTCTTTCTCGCTATGTAGAACCACTCGCTGGTATTGCTCAGATACTTGTACTCCACAGCTAGATCCTTCACCAGTATGGGACCCTCTGGGAGGCGGTATGCGTACGGGCAGAACAACCAGTAGTCCTTGTATTGAAACTAGAAAAAAAACAAATAAGAAACATAGTCAATAGTAGTTTGCCTAAAGATGAAAGAAGTACATAAGTGATTGAAAAAATGAAGCAGGCTTACCAAACATTACCATCTAAAGTTAACAGAACCTCAGAAGGTAATAAATTTGTACAGCAATATGTTTAACATATTGCTAAACATAACATATTGTGTGTATTGTTTAACATATTGTATAATATGTTTAAAATAATTAACTTAACATTTCAGTAATAGATTTTTGTTAATATTTATGGATAGCGTACTGATTTAAGTTTTACTATGGGGTTATAAGTGCTTTTAATTCAAATTTACTACGTACAAATATGTAGTTTATTTGATAAAGAAGGTTATATTATTCTTCGATTTGCTAACATTAAACCCTCAGTTAAATAAGTCTTATATTTTACTACGTTGTTGGTTTTAATATTTCTTTTATTACAATTGTTTAGTATGCAAGACTTATATCTTAAACATAGTTGTTAATTTAATTGTATTACTAACATTGCATCAAAACTCTGTAAAAATTGGAGTTTTCTAAAACAAATGTCAGGTACCCTTTCAAGTAAAACCAGTTAGCATGGCAGAACATTGTATTGAACAAAGTTTCAATTATTGTTATGAACGCAAATATTTCAATATTATCTTAGGAAAATATCTTAAGATCCTTTTTGATGGTTTAAGATAGACATCCATGGCCATAAGGATAAGAAAATGCAACGTTTATTTTGTAGGAAATTCATTACGCAGTCAGTAAGATCAGTAGATAGTATCAACAACTCGATACTCGGTTCTCTGATGAGCTACTCGTTCACGGAAAGGCAGTTCAACGACCAATTAGTGGAGTTGATGAAGTATTGCCTGGAGTTATTTTCTGCTCTTGAAAACAAAGAAGTGTTTTCCTGCCGTTTTGTTGTTTTCTGTCATTCATTGTTTTGTTGAATTCCCAATTTTGGTTGTTTTGTAAAACAAAATTTGCCTTTATTATTTTATTTACCAGGAGCATTGGTAAGGTTTGGTGTTTATTTGTGCATGAACAGAAAAGGTTGTACGACAAAAAACAATCCGTTCTGAACAAGTCTAATAAATGTTTTTGTGAAGTTTTACACGATGGGAAACATATTTTGGTTTCATAAGCTATTTATTTATATCTTAAGAGGTTGGCAGAACTTTTTTGACCACGCATTTGCCCGTCAACATCCACCGTGAACATGAGTGTATAATAAATGGGTGAGCCGGTACTGTAAAAGGTCGAATTACACTGATAAAGTTGTCAGGTACCAGGATCCGAACCCATGACATCGCTGCATTTGGCCCAAATAAGCCACTGACTAACCAGTATACATTTACACTGTTGTCACCGGTTGTAATTAGGACTGTAATCTGAATAGGAATAGAAAAATATGGGAATGTAAAGATGTAAATTACATAAATCTAACCTGGTCGTAACAGTTCCCAGCGGCAAAGATGTCATCGTCAAACTCCACCATAGAGAACACTCCTGCGTGGAGTAGGTACTCCGAGTCCATCACCTCGGGAGTAGCGTACTTCCACAGCCTCGTCAACATGTTGGCTCGGTTAACAGCCACATCAGCCTCCACCCGGAACCTCTCCTGTAATATGACACTTTGTTGTTACACTCAGGTTTTACAGTCTTGTTACAAACTGAACTTAAGTGCCTAAAATTAAGTTCCTCGTGGAATATGAAATCAGAAAGCTTAACGCTATCACTGCCGTTCAAGGGTGTGTACCGCCACCATGGAAGCTGGGTCAGAGGTTTCAATCTACCAAAAAAAGGGATAGTGTAGTAAACAAATTTATTTAGTTTTATTGTAGGATATAACTATGTACAAACCAGAGTAAAAAGATCAAAGACAAAATTGAAAGGTCTAGCCTATGATAAATACTGAGATCAGTATTAATAGAATATGACTACAGTATGGCTTCGTTAACTGAAACAAAACACAAGCTTGTCAAAACAAACTTATAAACACGCCGTTTCCATTGTTGGGACAATCAGCTGTTTTAAATCACGGAAACAGACGTACCAACCTTTTAATTTTGCACCATTATTTTTAATAACCGTGTATATTAGGAAAACAAAACATTATAAAAGATATTTCACGATTTGTAGCATATCTGATTACTTTAACTGATTAAGATAAGCAGTGACACCGTTGAACTCCCACATACTCAAAAAAAGAGGAAAACCAGGTCCCTGCACTGTATTTGATAACTATCACTAACTGCAGTATTTCATCCATGGAGTGCTTGTTAACTCTTAACAAACATAACGTTACTGTACCTATTTTTTTATATTTATAGTACTTGTTATTTCAATGGCTGTAAAGGAAGTCGTTTCTGATGATACACCCAAGAAGTGAGACTAAGTATAATGTAGAGAGTAATGCAAAATGCACTGCCTGACCCATAAGCAACTGTAAGAGGTATCATTAGTATTATAACACACAAAACGTGACCGTACCTAAGGCTTCACTTGTGATGTGACAGTTATATAAAGGGTGTTTGAACAGTCTGGGTATGGCTTAATATTTTACAATCCATAGCAGAAAACATCCATAATATAAACTATTTTCCCTTGCTGCTGGATAAAAAAAAACTAAAAAAATATTCCGAAATAAATTGGTAAGTTAACTAATCTCACCAACAAAAACAATGGTAGAAGTTTTAGTAGAGTGAAACACTGCCTACCACATCTGTATACGACGATCCAGTTAGAAATGGCAGCGCATTATATACTTCACAATGTTCGCCTAAAACAACCCGCCATTTCTGATTAGATACATCTTTTGAGATGCGGTTTGCAGCATTCAACTCTACTAACTGAGCTCTTTGAAATGATGGATCACTCGTCCCGTGCTTTACATTTAAGATCTCTATGACTTCCTCCTTGGGCCGTCCTCATGGTTGTCTAGCAAGGAAAAATAGTTTACATTGTCATTAGACTCTGAGCAAAGTTAACAGATGCTTTCTGCTATGGTTTGTAAAATATTAGACCGTGCCCAGACTTTTCAAACACCCTGTATGTACTACTTGTTCTAACAATGAGTCAGAGGTGTCGTTTGTAAGTCACACACCAAGACTCTTGTAAGACTCTTGTTGGTGTACAGTTATATATTTCCTCCTTGTTTCAACATCTAATGGTCATTACTGTAATATACTTTATTTTAATCATTGTCGCTAAATTATGCATGTATGCACATTTATTTTGTTAAAGATCCACCAATAATGCTTAAAATACAATAATTTTTGTCATTGAGTTTAGTTATATTTAAATTTAAACAACTAAAATGTAAGATAATGTATTAGTATATTTAGTTGTTATTCTTTCACGAACGTAAAATGTAAATACAGTAGATTTATAGTTTACAAAAGAGATGCGAATGGGGAACAATATTGGATAAGAGACTGAATACAAATGAGATTCTATATCCAACCCTTTCTAAAGACACTCTCACTATCTGGGTATATATTATCTTATGTTATATTTCCGAAGATAAATTTACAACAATTCATTTTTAGATAATTTGCATCTTTAAATCATCATGTTGATTTTCGATGACTGTAAAAAAACTTATATTGTCATCTCATTCTAATATTCGTAGTGTAATAAGATTTATAAACATCCAAAATGTGAATATGCTTGATAAAATTATTCATCTGCTTGTTACCAATTATTGGTTGTTATTAGGTTGATATTAGACTATAGTTTTGTACTTTTGACCAAAGTTTGAATAAACAACAACAGTATTCTCTTTTAAATTATTGTTTTATCATTTTTACGAAACAATAGCGGTTGAAATTACAAACGTGACTTATCAACCTCTTTCACCTTTAGTGTCAAGTGTTTATAGAGCAAAAAGTCTAATCATTTATGTATAAAAAATTTGAAGTAGATATTTTATTTTAAAAGTACAGTACTTCCTTATGCAATGGACCAAAGCTTTGCATTAAACTTAATAATATCTTATACGATACTTTTATAAATAACTTAATATAATTACGTCATGTGACAACTTAAATTAACTTAAAATCTTCTTTGGAGATTGGAACTTTTTAAGTACCAATTTTTCTATTGTATTAAGGCTCAATAATAGAATACGTTTTTAGCGAAAGCATTATAAACTTTGGGAAGGAAAACATGCATCAAAATAAAACTCTAACACATGCTTCAAGGGTTATAATCCCTTAAAATTACTACACGAAAATCCTTTTAAGCCGGCAATAACATTTCTCTGGAAGGGGGCACGGTGAGCTCCACAACAATGTTTAGAGGATTGTCAGAAGCTTCAGCGCCATAATGGAGATATTACTTTAATTTAAACTACTTGTTGGCAATAATTTACTTATAATATTACATGTTTTGAATTTTATAAACTTTAACAAACGCTTAAAAAGTGGAAAATTGGCGTTCTTTTGCTAGGTATTTTGTAAGATGTCTCATTATTTGTAGTTTTACTCCCATCTTTGATTATTAATGTAATATCTGGTTAATCAATAAAACAAACAAAAAAATGACTAGCATTAAATAGTTTGTAAAACATTGTCCAGGAAGTTAATCGATAATATACATCATCTAACAAATGTGTACACTCAGCGGTTTGTTAAATATTGATTGAATGTAAATATGAGATGTATACAGGTATGCATTTAGAACCTTTTTCTCCTAGCATTGTCTTCATAATCCAGAGAAGCATGATTCAGTTTAAATACTGAAGATTTGAGAGAGTAAGCTATCATTTTGAGTTACGGACACAGTTATCGTTAACTCAACATCAGCTTTTTGTACCAGTCTTCAACCCCTGAGATTTCACTTTAAGATTATTTAGTGTTTTTATTCGTAAATGATTTCCTTTTTAGAATTACAGGCTGATGTTTTGTAATCCTGGCATGTAATGTGTATTGGAAAAAATAAAAATCACGGTGTGTTTCTGTGACATAGTTGTACTAAATCGTCTTTTAAAACTAGATTATGAATACAATGTATTTGTGTATTTTGATTTTAAAAGTTCACTTTGCTAGTGAACTATTTGCGTATTGCCATAAAATATTGAATCTCTGAAGTGTACTGCTATATTAGCTCTAATTTACATTCAATTTGAAACTAATTGTTTAGTAAATATTGAAATGAGTATTTAAATTAGCGTTCCTTTGATGATTTCCCTCTACTTTCAAGAGGTTAGTAGCTCCTTTCATCTTCGTACTTCGTCTTGCGTATCCTTCTGCATAATTAGGTCCATCCAATAAAGTGGTGAGCCGGTAGAGTATACGAAGGAGGAGAAAAAGTGTTTACTTTTTGAAATGAACCATTTATACATAAGCTTGGTCAGTCGTGGAAAGTTCTAACTTTACAAAAAAAAATGGTTTATTCACATAAAATAGCCATAAGTTAACAATATAAATGTGTTTTCAAATACAATTGTTATTTATTTGGACTGTGTATCTTTATTTTTCTGTGTTTGTTTGTGTTTGTTTTTTATTTTTTGGACTGTGTTTAAAATTTTCTATATATCATATGTTTAAATAGCCTCAAGAAAATACGAAATTCATTGTCGTTTTTTTTCTTAGGACGCTAGGCACGAGCCCTGAATTTTTTTTCACATTACTTCAGGCTCGACCTAGAGGTTGCGTCATTATCACATTGATAAAATTCATCTGTGATTGGTGGCATTTGAACCCGGGAACCAAAGTCTCGCGCTTTAAGCACTAGACAAGCTCGTTCTCCAAATTGCATTGAAGTAAAACAATACGAAACTAATATTCAATTTAGATATCTAATGATTAATGTCACATCTAATGATTATGTTACATTAATGATGATAACATAACTAAATGAAGAAGACCGTTTCTAATTCGAAAGAAATCTAGAGTGTTTTCTTTTTTCAATACAATTATTTATTGGTTTTGATATGTACAGTGTTCGTGTATCTTAAAAAGAACAATATAAAAAAAAAATATGTTTAAATGTCCAAAAACCAATTATATATAGTATTTTGTGCAAATATCTTGTAAAAGTTCCCATTTTAAACGTTCTTGCAATTTTTACGGTGAGATATATATTAGCGTGGTTCTAAAAATAAGTTCAAAAATCGAAGTTACGGCAAGATATTAATTTTTTATTATATTTTAGCTTTTATTAACTATGAAAAAAGTAAGATGATTGAAATGTATTTTTTTTAAGTATATGGTTACATACGTCGAAGAAGATCTATATTAGGTTTACAGTTAAGCTGCTACTTTGTTCGCAATTTAGTAAATACTCAAGCCAAAAGCGCCGAAACAGCATCGCCTAATGACGCTTGAGATCTTGAGAACCCTTTACCTTAGTTTTCTTGGAGACGGTTGCAGCAAAAGGACATTTTAATTTGTAAAAAGGGATTCATTACGTATATACAATGTTAACAGAATTAATGTATGGTAATGCCTCAAGATAAACTGTAAAACTAGAAGTTGAGAAACATGCTTTTAATGTCATCATAGGGAATTATTTGTAATTGTTATAGTATTTTTTTTTTATTCCACTAGCAGCAATCTACTTTTAGTAATTGATTAATAGTTTTTAAATACCTTACGTGTTAATTTATTATTATAA